ATATAATTTATAGTCTCATGTAATGTATCTTTCACACAGAATATAATGAAGTGACTTCAGAATTTTATATTAAAGTTATGAGCAAAGGAAATAGCTTTTTATAGGAGATGAGCAAAAAGAAAGGCCACACTGGCAGTATGGCATGGACAAATTATTCATGAATTCTTACATGGGAGCCAGGGTTAGGGTAAGGAACCTTCTATGTGTTGATATGCTGCTAATTCATAGACGATGGTTTGGCTTCAGCATCTTGTGAACTTTGATGTTTAGACAGAGAATTTAGGGTATCTGGAAGGCGGAATAGTTGTGGTGGAATACTATTTTATACGTAAGGACTCCAGCTTTGTCGGTATGAATATAAGGGCCAATTATTGGAGGGCAGACTGACAGGCAAGCAAGCTGAAAGTAAGAAAGTATTTTAGTCAGTAGAGATGAAGATGTTATAACTTTCAGAATTCACGTAATGTAATTTCACAGAAGTATTGATTAGTAAAAGGTCTTTTAGTCAAGGTAGAAGCTGGCAGTTTACTTTGGCAAACAAACATGATAGAGGGGAAAAAAAAAAAGGGATCTCTTTCCTCACGTCTATGCAGGCATAAGAGATGACCAGGTCGGGAATCAGTTATCCAAACAGATTATTTTAAAGGAAAATCACATTAAAAGCTAGATTTTTGAAAGAAATACAGTGATTTTGTATATAATCAGAATATAATTGTTAGTCTCACTAGACGTAAAACAATTTTCAGTTTTTTCTAATGGGCAAGATGTGTTGCTGTCATTACTAGTAAACTTTTCTGCAAGAAGATTGAGAGACTGTTTGATCCAGAGTACCTAAATCCAGATTCTCGAGGAAATGCAGCAACATTATACAGGTATGGCCTTTTTATATTACTACTACAGTTGCAAGGACAGTCCTTTTATGTCGAAGTCCTGCTCTTACTCCAGTACTTTCTCTTTTCCTTGTTTGTTTTTTTTTATCTTTTAATCTTTTTTTTTTTAATCTAGGTGCTGTTTATGTAAAAAGCTGCTAACTAAAGAAACTGAAAGAAGAATTCCTTGCGTACCAGGAAAAATCAACATAGATCAACATGGAAATATTGTCTATGTTCATATAAGGTAATTAATAATATATTTAAAAATACTCCTTCAACTGTATGATTTTGGGTGATTTTACAGAATACTACATATTTAGGAATTATCAGATACTCGCATTAAAAAACAAAGTCATAGATATGTGAAAAGCAGTATGAATCATCTCAATTTCTTATATTACAAAGAAAAAAAAGAGTGATTGCAAAGATGTACTTCTGAAATTTGTTCAGCTGTGTTGCTGCTGAATGGAAATGGAGAAACTATAGTCATGATTACTGGGAAGGCTATTTTGGGTTGTACTGCCTTAAATAGAAAATACTCAGCTAATTCTTTCATTAAAGGCATATGTGTAGTTGATGACAAATTAAATTAAAGGCAGTGTTTCTACAGGGTTTGTTATGGAGTGATAGGTGCACCTCTGCCAGCAGAAAAATGCTAAAGATTATTTTCTAGACTGACTTTATATTGTCAAATCAAATACTCAGCCTGCTTAAAGACTACTGTAAATGAACTTTGCCAGTTGTTTTTCTGTTCTAAAGTATTTGTCAGAGGAGCTTCCAGGACTACTTCTGTATGCATGCCTTACATTTGGCGCAAATGTTTAATTCAGTTCTGTCTGTTTGATCCATGTTTGTGAATAGCTGGATTGTCCTCTTAATGAAGATCAGTGCGTGATCAACTGCAGTTCCTTCCCTACCCACACGCCTCCTTTAAGGCAGGTAGTGGGAAATTAAAAGCAGGAGACCTTTCTCATCAGATTTACTCAGTTCAGAACAATCAAAACACAGTTCAGTGTCAGCTCCCAAGGTAACACATGTTTAGTGTTGCCTCCCATGAGTAATTCCAAGGTGTGGATCAAGTTCTGCCTAACAGTCTAATTAAAACCAAATGTTGTGACCCTGTCCTGACCTATTAGGATCTTTGGTGATTAGCGACTTACAATTCATTAATTGTATTACTGCACTTAAGCTGACTGTATGTAGCTGCTATGCAATTCCTGGTATATAAGCAGGGTTTAAAGTTACTCAAAGGATTATTTAGGTTCTAATTATTTGCCTTGTGGTTCTTGTGACTGCTTTTCTACACAGAATTCATTTACTGTTCCTTAGGCAAAGTGATGGATTAATGAATTCAGTCTTATGAGCTAATATAAGCCTATCTTTAATGACTTAAAAATATGTTTATATTTATTGGTCCTCTAGTGGTGCCTAGAACTTACTTCCTGTTGGAAGTGCTGCTTGCTTGGTCTAGATTAGACATATATACAGTAAAAAACGATCAGGCCAGAGTTTAAAATAATGATAAAACAGTATCTGCTCTTTTTGAAGACAACCTGCACCAGTGGTTGCACAACACAACACAACCTGCACAACACACCAGTGCAGGTTGTGTATTCTCTTTTGAATTCTGAAGAGTTAGATGTCATTGTATCACTAGGAAGGAGCAAAAGCTGTATTTTCTAAGACTGGAGTCTCAGATACATATATTCATCAAAAAGACATAGTCTTATATTTTCAAACTTTTGTTCTTAACAGTAATTGCTGTTGCATTGCAGATACATAGAAACATGTTATGTTGGCTTCTAAAATAAAATGGAATGGCAGTACTTTGCAGTTGTTGTACGACATGCTACTTCAAAGACAGAAAACTGCAATGTGACTGAACATGCTTGTGTGTGCATGTTTGGATTTCCTCTAGTCTGTGTGTTGGCTTTTCCTTTGTTTTATGGTTCCTTCTGATTTTCAGAAGGCTTTATATTTACCTTAGCTTATAAATATGCAGTATGTGGAGCTTGAAATGAATCAAGCTGTAATTCTTTGTTATTAGTAGGTTTAGGATGTTGTGAAAGAATACAGACTCTTCTGTCATGGTCTGAATTTAATAATGATTGTCCCACGTTGTATCCTAAACTCTTCTGTAAGCTTTTCACCAGTGGAATGTGTGTTCTTCTGCTCCTTCTCCACCTCACCTTTCTGGTGGCAGGATCAAAACAGGGTTATGACACTGTATGCAACCTGACTTTTTACTTTTTCAGAGACAAAACCTGGGAAGTTCACGAGTATTTAATTGGCCTTCATGAGGAACTGAAATCTTGGCGGGATGTTTATTGGCGTCTCTGGGGGACTGTCAATTGGTTGACCTGCTCAAGATGTAATCAAGTTAGTATATTTTCACTTTCACTTGCTTGTTTTATAGATGGCTTGTTGTGGGTGATTTCTGGGGGGACTAAAGCAGCTTGGAAAATATATGGGAACAAAACTTGGTATATGTTCTTTATATTGCAAAATTTTGAGGTAATCTCACCTCTCATTATCTCTTTTTTTATTCTAATGTAGTCTTTCCTGTGTACTGAATTCTCCCATTGCCAGTACCATTCGCAGCCAGTTCTTTATCCAGGTGTAGCAAGTGCTCTGGGCTCACCTGGGACAGGAGTATATCCATGCTGTAACCAAAAAGTACTTCGATTTGATCCTACGACCCTCCCAAAGGTACTTCAATACTAGCTCACTTTCAAGAGCATAACATTTGGTGGGGAGGGCAGGGGTGATAGTGTTACGAAAATAGATGTTTTCCAAAATAAGGATTGTGAATCATTGCAGTAAATTGAACAGAAGTTATTTTACTTACTGAAATTGGTTCTTCCCATTAACTCAAGTATTTGGTCTTGTGTGTATATGTATCACAGGGCTGCAAAGTGAGGGATCACATGGTTGATTTACCTTCAGGAAAAGAAGATGGGGATTCCTTGCCATCTCAGACTACTAAAATATTGAATGATCTGCTTTATCATAGAGATGTTATTGTTGTTCCTTTCACTAAGGATGAGAATAGGTAAGAAGATTGTGTTGTATTACTGAAATAACTTAGCCTTCAATGCTTAACATGTGCACGTTACATTTGATTTCTCTCTCATTTTAAAATGATAAGGGCTTTTTAAAGGCAACTTATTTTTGATTGTTTAGTTGGAAACTGAGAAGAGAAGAATAAGTACTTTTTCCATTTACATTTCAAGCAGACATTTAGTCATTCATCTTCCATAAGCATTCATGCCTATCTTCATATTTTAATGGATTGCTATCAAAATATTTTGTGGCTGACTTTGAGGTCTGTCTTCTCTCTTGATACGTGATGAGAAAGTGAGACTGATTCTAAAGCTGTGAAATAGAAAAATTTAGTTTTGTTTCACATCTTTCTCTTTAAGTGATTCTGGTATTGGGCTGTGTGATGAAAAAGGCATTGAATGTGATGCGCTTGTAGAACCAAATACGCCATGGGGTCCCAAAACTGGAGAAATCAATGCTGTGAGTGCTAATTTCCCCCTCTCCTTTTTTCTGGTAATAAGGATTCTTACAAGAGTACTTTGAAGAATTCATTAGACAACATTTAATAAAAAAACCCAACCCATTCATTGTTGGAGGAAGAAGTGCACTGCTGAACATTGAAGGAAATTGTAGGCTAGCATAGGTACAAAGTATCTGATTGCTGAAAAGGCAAAGTTTTTACCATGTCTACTGGAAATATTTCTGTACATCAGAAGCAGTTCTTCATATATGTGCACTTTCCACCCCATTCTTAAACTGATGATATTTAAGGATCCAGTCATACTTTAAAATAGATCACATGGCAAATATTTAAATAATTGCTGCCTTTGTTTTGTCTGCTGATGTATCTGGCTGTGTCCTTATGACTTTTGCAAGTCCATAAATGAAGAATTGTAACTTGGGTTGTGTTTTGGTTGAAGGGTTTTTTTTGGCTTTTTAGTTTTTATTTTGTTTCCCCACGATGTGAAGGCTTCTACTTTCCAGAACTGTCCGTTACCATGTGTATGTCAGGTCAACAGAGATGCTTTCTAAGGCGAGTTTAAGGAGACTGTTTGTAATCCTACCTCTGGTTTAAAGAGAGTATTCATGCAAAGATAAGTTTTGAAGTTCTGTGCCCATTGTGGAACTTCTGGTAACTCAACTGTCCTGATGGTAGCACAGTGCTGCTGACACGATGAGAATTTCAAACAGAGAATCCGAAGCTCTACCATGATAATACAGGAGGCTATTAAATTTAAACTCCATAACAACCTGGTACATAACTGCCCCCCCTGTCCTTGACTGCTTTTTTGATTAAAATCAGCTGTAAGTATTTTTAGTGCTAAGGTTAGGCAAAGTAAAATGTGACTCTGAATTCACTGCGTTTAATCGATCAGTGGTTCGCAACCTGTTTGAGGTTAGTCATTCCACTGAATTTATAATTAAAGATATGAGTAGGCCTTCTAGGTGTTACCAGTGTCCATTGCTGTACATTAACATACCACTCCTGTTTTTAGAATGCCACTGACTTTTTAAATTCTAATTATTATTAGTTCTCTAACTTATATGCCTTTCTCTTTTTGTGACTACAGTTTCTTTCTTTGAAGAACTGGACTTTACAGCTGGTTAGTAAAATATTTTGTTCATAATTTTAAATATTTGCTCTTTTGCACTGACAAAGAACTAGCTTTGATTTCTGTCTCAATTTGGCAGAAGATGTATTTTCTTGCTTTTGCTTTAACTTGGAGGTTGCAACCTCCAAGTGATGCTTTTTACAATAAAGTATAAAGTATGTATGAAGCACTACTTTGGCCTGAATAAAAATTTAAAATATCTTTTAAATGTTTTTATAAATAACATAAAACAATAGACCAGCACTGCATGCATCAGTTCTCAATAGTTTATTAGGCTGACAGAAGCATAAATCATCAAAATCGGAGTTTTTGAGTGTCTGTCTCTTTGATGGCTTGTCTGAGATGCCTCTTGTCTTCTTTATGCTGCTGCATCATTGCAAAAAGCTTTTATCAGAGCTGAGGACCTAGGCGAATGCAGAGAATGGGGAGTCATTCTTCCACTGGCATAGAATGTCACATGATTTAATGTCTTTGTATGTAAATGCTGGAGAGCAGCAGTTTACCTCTGTCACTCTTGAGGATTTATTTTGCAGTCTGATGTTCCTCGTGTCCTCCAGTAAGACTGTTATTCTTGCAAAAACATGATTCATAAACTTTTTGAACTTGAAGTCCATGTTAAACTTCATCATTTCTAATGGATTACGAGGCACTCGTTATCACTTATTTTAAAATATATTTGTGTATATTTAAACAATGTAAACATCACATTCCTTAATGTTTTCTTATTCTGTGCTGATCAGCTAGAAACTATTCACTGTGACCCTATCTGTTGCAATACCGGAGCCCATAGTTTATGATGATATGCAAGAGATGGAAGGAAAAAAAAAGGTATTAAGGCAAGTTCATAAAAAAAATGCCAACCAGATATTCCAGACCATTTTGCAATAAATTATTAATACAGATAACTCTGGTGTACATAATTGTGTGTATTTGTAGGGCACTGCAATATGCATGCTTATGTGGTATTTAATTGCTGAGTATCTCAGCAATTTCAGGCAGTTTGCAAGATGCAGCAAGCCTCAGTGGAACCATTTGTAAACTTGTAGTTTCCTGTATTCTGTGATTATGTGGCTAGCTCAGACATTTGCTACCGTAGCGTAAATTTTCTTACTCATTAGAAAAATAATATAGCCAGCAATACATTGGATATTAAACGCTGAATCATAGAATAATACAGGTTGGAAGGGGTCTCTGGTGGCCATCTTATATATTTCTTCCCACTCTGAAAGCAGGGCCAACTTCAAAGTTAGATTCAATGTCAAAGCTCTACCACTTTGCTCAGGGTCACATCCAGTCAAATCTTGAGTATCTCTGAAGACAGAGATTCTACAGCCTCTCTGGGCATGTACAGCCTCTCTAACAATGTTTGACCACTTGAAAGAAACATAAGTAAAAGTATTCATCAATACATTCTAAGCAAAGATTTGAAATTACTTTCTCTACATTTGAGAATCACATTCTTGGATCTAAATGCCTGCAGTTGTGTCACTAAGATACGGAGCTAGGTTTGAAGACAGCTCCTTCAAGACGGATTTAATGTATCATTTAATAGGAATCAAGCCTCACTTATGTGTTATACTCTTCTCCTCTTGCTTAGAAACAGCAGTCATTGTTATCTGAAGAGGAGGAGTATACCACTGGCTCAGAGGTCACTGAGGATGAAGTGGGGGATGAAGAAGAAATATGCAGGAAACCAGGTACAAGAAGTCTCTTCATCTTCCCTGCAATTTAGAGATAGGGATTCAAGGCAGCAGAATTATTCTGTAAGTGGCTTTTAAGCATTAGGCAGCATTTAAGCATTATATAAAAAATAATGTTACTTAAATTTTATTGCTAGTTTTTCTGTGGTTAGATACAAATTACCCCCCTGCTCAGTGCTATCGAAAAGCACTGGAAAACAGTGAAAGCTGCAACTATTCATGTCTGAGATGTCATTAAAGTTGATCACGGATGTATTTTGCAGGAAAGACTATCAAATGACTTTTATGAACTTTCATGCAGATAAATGTTGAGAAAAAAGGCAGTAGCTACACAACTATGTTTTTTTGCATGTCTTTTTTTTTCAGAATATTCTTCTGGTCACATAGTGGAATGACTAGTGAACATGGCTAGAATTGTGTCTGCATTGAAGATAAGCTCTATATGATCTAAAAGGATTTTGGGGTTTCATTTAGTTTTAGTTTTTAGGTTGTTTTGTTGGTTTTTGGGTTTTTTTTTTAATATAAAGGGTTTAGGAACATGGAAAGCCAAAAAGCAGCTTCTCCTTTTCACCCTAGTTACGAGTCACTTGAACAGGGGCAGTACTTTGTTCTTTTTGTCTCAACTCAAAGGCATTGGAGTGTACCAATTTCTGTTTTCATAGAATCATAGAATACTGGGCTGGAAGGGACCACAAGGATCATCTAGTCCAACCTTTTGTTCTTGAAAAGTTTGTTTTTAAAAAGTGTTTTGTTGTTAAAAGCTGAATGAAGATTTTTGTAGTTTGATTTTAAACTTGTTTTGTCTGATACCACTCAGAGCTTGTTGATTGAATCAATATGGTCCAAGATGTAGCTTGTATGTGCACTTGCTTTTAATTTTACAACAACAGTTATGTGTAACTGCTCTGCCTTTTAAATATATACTTGCATTCTTGTACATTTCTCATAGAAAAGTGTTTGAGTAATCTATGTGCATTAGCATTCC